GATTTTTTTTTTTTGTAGGCTATTAGAGTAGTTGATGCTGGAAAGGGTGCGGCTGCCATAACAAAACCTTAAATATGGTTTTGGGACCAGGTTTGGTTCCACTGGGTCTGGGACCAGGCAATCAGGAGCAAGGAAACATTTACAGGAAGGAGGCTGGAGAATGGTGAGGAAACACGGGAAAGGCAGCCTGTGTTAAGCAGTGTAAAACATTTAATAAAACTGCTGAGGGCGAAGATCCAAATCGCAGAAATTTTAATGAACTTTTATTAGAGTTGAGAGAAGACATCTAGAAGCAGAATGTCAAAAGTAGGACTTTCGGATACTCTCACCTGCGGCCAGCGTGTGTAGTGAGCAAAAGCAGGATGGCTCAGTGACCTTAAGGGTCCTGCTTCCACACTGGAAGGAGCGAGAGTGAGCCAACGTTTTTTATTTTTATATGGGGGATACACAAAGGCTTTTCCATAGAATATTCTTCACCAAATAAGGCGGAGGGGTGGGCGGCTGTCCAGCCCAACTCCAGAGCTACAGAGCAGCCTCTATAGCCAATCGAAGACTGAGGTCATGTGCTTTGCATAATAAGCCACAAAATGACTTGCAATGCCGGACCAAAATCTCCTTGGCTTCAAGGCCAAGTAGAAGCTATGCAAATAGCTCAGAGGAGGCCCCCCACAGGATACTAGATAAATTTTTAAAGTTATTATTACAAGAAAGACATGCTCTGAAAAAACCTGAGCAGTTTTGCAAGCAATATCTAGAAAGAATATAAGTCTAGAAATTGCTAGGTTGAAAAATAGAAGTTTATAATCTTCAGCCTCCCTAATCAGTAAAATGCTTAAATTAAAATATGATTTGCAAGCAAAAACCTAATTAAGGGTATAGGTCCTATGAATTGACAAAAGGGCTTCTAGAAAGATTAGGGTGTGTTCCTACACAATCCTGTTGAATCTGTACACAGACGTGTCAAAAGGAATTATGAGTGCGGCTTTTGTCATATGGCATTGACTGGAATAAAATACACAGAAAATTTACAATGTTTTCAAAAGCTATTTATTAGCAAAAGTACCTCCAGCCTGCATTAAAAGAAGCAGAGATTTCCCCAACTTTCTGTGGGAATGTATGAAGCTGAGAAAGCTTATCAGCCACTAACATGTGTATACTCTTCAAATGCTTTTAAGGCACGCTTCAGAATTAACCAAGGGAGTTGTTGGAAAGGAACAATTTCCAAAGGGCAGAACCAAGACCTGTAGAGAATGAACTGGGAAACCATTCCCAGAAGAAATCAAGGGCCTGATCTAGAAACATAACTAAATCCCAGGGTAGGGAGATCTTACAATGTTTGCCCAATGGGGCTTCAGAATTGCTATGGGCCAGTGACATCCTCCCACTCCTCCTCCTTCTCAAATGACAGTGCTTATTGCAGTTATTCCTGTTCCAAAATAGTTTGCTGGGTGTGGGGGTGAGGAGGCAGATAACTGTGTCTTTTTAATTCATAGGTCTTGGAATCCAGAGGAACCACATCCAGGCCTGATGTAGATCATGAGACCTTGGACTTTGAGCCTTATAAGGCTTTGAGTCTGGATGAGACTTTGGAGGATTTGGGGATTGGGTGTGAATATGTTTTGCATGTGGGAGGAAACCACATAGCTGTTAAGAAGGCAGACTTTGGTCAATTCACTTATTGTTCTCAACCCTTCATTCCTCCCTGTGTCCCAAGCCTATTGGCATGACTTGTAGTTTATTCCTCTAGAAGCAGAATGCATTTCTCTGCCCCTTGACTTAGGCCTTATTGCATTAGCCAACAGAACATTAACAAATAAAACACGAGAGAAGGCTTAAGATGCTGGACCCCTGACATCATCACAAGATGAGCTCCTCCTGGGTAGCTGCTGTCCCTTTAACTTCAGCCTGAGTAAATATCTGTGGAGCAGATCCATTCCCCAACAGAAAGAAACCAAGCTGGGATAGAGACACAGTTCAAAGCACAAAAGAATTAATGATGATGTTTTAATCCACCAGGCTGGGTGTTTATTATTCAACAGTAGCTAACTAATACACTTACCATTTGCCTCTGTGGTCCCTACCCTCCAAGGACTCTAGGCTAATACTTGCACATCAAAAGCACATTGAGGGATGGGTTGTGGCTCAATGGTAGAGCGCTTGCCTAGCATGTGTGAGGCACTGGGTTTGACTCTCAGCACTGCATAAAAATAAACAAACAAATAAAGACATTGTGTCCATCTACAACTAAAAAAAAAAAAAGAACCTTAAAAAAAAACCACATTGTGGTTTTTAGCTAAACAGAATTGTCTTCCTAAGACTACTTCCTCCCACAAATTCCATGTTCCTAACAAGATGGTTGGGTTTTAAATGACAATTTTTAATTTTCTGTTTGATTGGTTTATCAGTTGGAAATATGTTTGGCTATAAGAGAAAATCCCCAAAACAGTGACTTAGATGAATAATGGGTTTGTTCCTTTTACAGATGGATGGATAGATGAAAGATAGGTAGATAGATATAATAACTTAAATTAATAAAGGATTTATTTGATGGGTAAATAAATGCATATACAGAGAAAGATAGAAAATGTTTTATGTGGCTATATACAATTATGTGTATGCATATATATGTATGTGTGTTTATATATATATTATATATATATATATATATATATATATATATATATATATATGAATATACATACATGTATTTTCAATCTTGCCAGAGGTCTCAGTTTGCTTAGTGTTTTCAAAAAACTTTCGGGTGGGGTTGTAGCTCAGTGGTAAAGCACTTGCCTAGCACATATGAGGCAATGGGTTCGATCCTCAGCAGCACATACAAATAAATAAATAAAATAAAGACACTGCGTCCATCTACAGCTAAAAATATTTAAAAAAAAAACCTCTGAGCTTTATTATTGCATCTCTGCTTTCTAATATATGATCTTAGCTTTTTCTATGTCCTTCTTTCTACCTTCCTTAAATTTTCTTTCCTTTTTTTTTTTTTTTACTTTTAGGTAATGAACACATTAACGGTATCCTCTACGACTGAGCCACAGCCCTATCCTCTTCCTCTTCGTTTTTTAAAACATGCTTTTTCAATGTTCTGGTTATAAAACATCCAAGGTAGTTGTGGATTTGCTTCTGCTGCTTCTCTTCTTATTTCCTAATGGGTTTTGTGGTGAAGTACCACAGACACTATCTACTCAGGTCAATTTTAAATAAGAATGTTTAGATTGTAGGGTTTGGGACCATGAAAACTGCCTGTATGAAAGCTGGACTTTGGCCATGAATTCTCTTGAGAAATGTTGTTTCCAGTGCCAAAGCAAAGAAAGACAGCCATTCTACTGCCCACCTCTGCATGGCATATTTTTACATTCTAGTTTCCCCTTTTCCTGAGGTAAATATCTTCTAGGGTCCCAATGTGAAGCTATAATTTGATTCTTACCCTGTTTGGACCCAGGTAAATACCTTATAGTTAGTAGAAGCATTAGTGTTTACTTATCTTCAGAGATGATTTTCAAAATATTTGTCAGATAGCATAAACACAAACCAATCAGAACAGATGCAGACTGTATGTATCCTTGTGTAACTTCTGAACATTGATTCGAACTTAGTAGGTTTGTGTTACTGTTTTTTTCCTGATTTTCTTGATGATTTTCCTGAAAGGTTATCTTCTTTTAACTTTAAATAATTTGTTGCAATAATATTAGGAGACAGAGTTCACAACATTCCTTGGAATAAGTCTAAGCAAGTTTGTTTGGCTCACGAAACAAAGCATCTGATAGTGAGCAATCCAAAGCTGGGATTGTAGCTTAATGTCATATGAATCCTAGTCTCTCTCAATCTTCTTGCTTTGCTAGCCTTAGTATTTGCCACTTCACAGACACATGATGGTGGCTGAACTTCCAAATTTCAGGCCTGCCTAGAGGCAGAAAGAAAACTGGCAAAGCACTTTAAAAATGACATTCAACTAGAAGTCTTAGTGGACTCTGTAAACAGTACTGTTCCAGAATTCCCATTGGATGACTTCTTGATCACTTATTATTGGGAAGAAGTTGGTCACAAGACCATGCCTAGCTTAATTACTGGCTGAGAGTAAGATTACCAGGATGGTGGTGGGAGTGTGCCTCAGTTGGGTAAAATAAGGGGTTGGAACATACACCCTTGAACCAGAATCCTTTTAAACAAGCCCTTCTGCACCCATCCCCATTTCTGTACTTCAATATATTTTTTTCTTTGGCTGTTTTCTAGAATTTCCGTGTAGACTTTAGAAAGTCCCAATCTCCTCTCTGAACACCCTTCAGTTCTAGAGTCCAAGAAGCAGCAAGACAGGCACACACCTGGGAAACTGGACACTTTAAGCTAAGACAGAAACAATATCAAACAAGTACGTCTGATCCAACAAGAGAATTCACCCTAAATCCAGAAGCCACCGAATTCATGCAGCTGCCTGGATTTCAGGTTAGTATGAATTAACACTTAAACGAAGTGGGGCCTGGGTCTCTAAACAGACCAAAAGGTATGTGGCGGCTCGGGTCCCACACACCACTACTTACCTCTCTTCTACACTAATAGAGGGGGGAAAGGGAGGTTTGTTGGGGGTGGCAGAACTGGAAGCCACAGGAAAGGCTCTGCGACGCCGCTGCCCAGCACAGTGCCAGCCACAGAGGGGGAACACTGGTCCCTTCACTGAGTATTTACTGAGCATCTACGATATACCAAACAGCGGATCGGGCGTTGTTGGAGGCTGACACGGATTTTGACATAATGTCTGCTGGATGACCTGAAATAGGTCAAGGTTTTAAAAGGGTTTGGAACCCAGAATCGTTGCTCCAGTTTCCATCAGTAGACTCACTCCCTAAAACCTACTGAGCACCGGACAGGCGCAGACACCTCGGCGTGCGCTCTTGACGCCCCGCCCCGAGCGGGATGCCGCATGCGCCCACGCTCTCTCGCTGACGCACCCCCGGAAGCACTGGCGGTTTCGGGGGCGGGACCGAGAAGCGTTTCCGGGGGCGGGAGGCGCAGGCTGAGGCTGTCGCGGCGGGCGACGGCTTGAAGAGGCCTGGCGCTGGCGGCTGAGAGGGTGCCTCGGGCGGGGGACGTGAGGCGTGGAGCCCGTGGCAGGTATGGCGGCGTCGGAACTACCGAAGGCGAGGACGAGAGGAGGAAGAGCCGGGGGAGGGTTGAGGACTTCTCCGCAGGCCCGGGCGCGCGCGCCGCCGTCCCCTTCGGGCCCATCCCTTGGACCGGAATGCTGAAGCCGCGCGGGCGGTTGGAGTCCCAGCGCCCCACGTCCGACTCCCGGGGTCTCTGGCCCTCCTGGCGCGCAGACAGCGACACCGAGATCCCCCCAACCCCGGGCAGCTTCTCCGCCAAGGTCACCCCGCGGCAGCGGAGCTCGGCGGGCCCGGGCGCTTAGAGATCCCGCCCCCGTCCGTCCGTTGGCCTTTCGGGGCACGGGTGGGCGCGGCTTGGCGGCCTGGGGTTCAAGCCACCCAGGCCAGGCCTGGCGAGTCGAGGCTGGAGAAGGGCTGTGCCAGGACTTCTCTGATCTCCGTTTCCCTCTGTTTCACCCCTGTGGCTGTCTCTATCACCTGTTGTCACCTGGCCTTTTTGTGTCTTGTCGTGGCCCCTGTCAACCTGGTGTTTCTCCCCACCTGTGTCTTTGAGCTGTCTCTGAGTGTCCAGACCCTGTCTTTATTTTTGTCTTCTTGCTTCTCTGTTTCTTGACCCTGTCTCTGCCACTCAGCTCTTCCTCTCATTCTCGGCTTGGATGTCATACTGACCTTTTTGGCCATCTGTTTGTTTCTAACTTTCTGCTGATTTTGTGTCTTTCTCTCTCGTTTCTGATTCTCCCTACTGGGTTTGTCCAGGCGGGGCGGGGCAGGCCTGCCCAGATCTCTGAGCCATGAAGGTGACTCATGACCCCGTGAAACTCCCTGCACTGGTGACATTCTCAGTGACTCGACCGCAGTCTGGTCTCAGCTCTGACAGGTGCCACCCACCCTAAACAAGTGTCAGGGTGCAGGAGCACCTGGTGGACAGACAGGAGATCCAACTCAGGACCAAAGCAGCTTGATGAATCTTTGCCTTTTATTGCCTACGGTTTTTCCAGGCGTGCACAGCGGCCTACATCCCTTTGCTTTATCCACCTACCCCCATGCCCTCCAGGGCTCTTTGGAGCCTACTCCTTGAGTTAGAACTGGTCAACTAGTCCGTTCTACAAGCTGAGGAAGGGTCAGGTTGAGATCTTCTGCCTTTGGGGATCTCTGAAGGGTAGAAAGATTTCTAGGAGAGCTATGTGCGTAGCTCAGAGATTGTGCCACTGTCCAGTTAAATAAGGAGAAACTTGTTAATTAGGGATCATTCACTGTTTTACCAAAGTACCATTGGAGGAATGCACCAGATACAAGGACAAATATTGTTTGAGACTTCTGAAATGATCTTAAATAGGCAAATTCATAAAGATAGGAAGTAGGCTATGCTGTAGTCAAAGTATTGTTCAATGGATACAAAGTTTTGGGGATGATAAAAAAGTTCTGGAAATGAATTGTGCTCATGGTTGAGCAGCATTGTGAAGATTCTTAATGCCACTGAACTGTACACTTACAGATTTAAATGATTTTATGTTATTTATATTTTACACAATAAACACACAAAAAGTACTCACTGGAGTCTCCTGAAACCAGTATGCTCTTTTTAAATATATTTTAAAAATTTGTTAGGAACATTAGTGGAACCTGTTTATTGAGGCCTACTCTTCACAGCAGTGGGTTAACCTGAGGGCCTTTGAAAAAGAGTTTGGTTTAAATCTTCAAGATTTCTGTTTGCAGCAGATTCCTATCCTGGCTCTGCTCTTTCCACCTTCTTCAGAATCAGTGCAGAAATCTGCCTAAGGAGGAAACTTTTAAGAAAAGATTTTACTTTTTATATGAAGAAAGCTTGTAAGGTTGGAAAAATAGCCCTTTTGTTACCGTAATACAAAATTATGTGTTATTTCTTATGGGAGATGCCTTTGTTTTTGTATTTTGTTCTTTAAGCTTTCAGTTTGACTTTAGGGTAGTTTATCAAACTTTCTAATAAGATAACAGCTGAATTAGTATCATATTTCATTGAATCTTAGATGCCATCAATTGTTTTATGTAACACCAAGGAGAGAAAAATACTACCAGTTAAATTACAGTTAAGCTGTAACAAAACTCTTTGCTATCGTTTTGGACTATTTTATTCTTATTGGAAACATTTTAACTTTTTTAGACTTTAAAAAAGCTATGTCAATACATTTTTCTAATGCATGTATTAAAGGGGAAAATATGTAAAAATAAGTTGCTCATTAAATAAATAAGTGCTCATTAAACTTAACATTCTAACCCCAGCTTTTCTGAATGCTTTTCAGTCTAGAGGTGTATCCATAGTTTTTCCACATGGTATCATCCTTTGTGCCATCAGAAACACTCTAGCGTTATCTAAGGCAGTGACAACTATTAAAACTGCCACTTGGTGATCACATCCTGATTTCAAACATTTTAAAATGTGAAAAAGGGTGTTTCTTAAAATGAGTTGACTCAGTCAGTGCTTTATATTCATTTTTCATGAACTTTTCTTTTTCACCTTATTTGCAAATAGACTTTTGTCTTATTAGTAATTACTGAGAAAAAACTTTTATATCTTGATATGTAGTTAATAATTTTATTGAAATGAGTACTTCTATTGAATATCTTACCCTGAATTCTCTTGCATATGAAAGTATTGTTAAAAATATCTCCTTGTAGGGTGGTACAGGCCTGTAATCCCAGCTATTCTGAAGGCAGATACAGGAGACAGGAGGATCACAAGTTCCAGGCCAGCCTGGGTACCTTAGTAAGACCTTGTCTCAAAATAAAACATAGAATGGGTTGAGGATGTAGCTTAGTGGTAGAGCATCCTCTGGGTTCTATCCCCGTATCACCAAAAATAAAAAACAAAACAAAACATAAAAACCCTCGATTTGATTGAAGTATAATGGAAAAATGACATAACTGGAGAACAATATCTTCTCTTTTGAATTTCAAAGTTTACCTTAAGGGAATGTTTTGCCTTAGAAGTTTTAAGACATTCAGCTGTGATTTAAAATTGAAGGGAGTCATAAATCAAATTTCATATAAAGTAGGTGGCTTGTTCTTTTTTTTTTTTTTTTTTTTTTAGAAAGAGAGACAGAATTTTAATATTTATTTTTTAGTTTTTGGCGGACACAACATCTTTGTTTGTATGTGGTGCTGAGGATCAAACCCGGGCCGCACGCAGGCCAGGCAAGCGCGCTACCGCTTGAGCCACATCCCCAGCCCTGGCTTGTTCTTTTAAAAATCAAAATTGAGGGACTGGGGTTGTGGCTCAGCCATAGAGTGCTCGCCTAGAATGTGCGAGGCCCTGGGTTTGATCCTCAGCACCATATAAAAATAAAAAATAAAGGTACTGTGTCCAACTACGATTAAAAATATATTTTAAAAAAGAACTATCGTAAAAAAATCAAAATTGAGTTTATTAAATTCTTCCAAGTTTTCCAATTAGAAAAAGATACAAGAATGCTTATTGACAATGGTCAGGAGACCAAAAGTACTCCTCTAAAGGATACTTATTATTTTAGAATTTTTTTTGAACCCAGAGCCTGGTGTATGCCACTAAACTGCATTACTGTCCCCCAAAGAATATTTTAATTCTGCAAAATTATAGGCATTGACCATTGCTGGTGTCCTACTTTTAACAAAGATGCCATAGTAATGTAAAATATTAACGTTAAAGGAAATTAGGCAAGGAGTAGATAGAAACCCTGCATTATCTTTGCAAGACAATATCTCAAATCAAAGACTGTAATGTGAGACTATAGCAAGACTCTCTCAAAGAAGATAAATTAAATCAAATAAAAAATACAAATGAAGAAGCTAAGAAGTTTCAGAATGAAAGTTCATCCAACCAAAAACACCAGTCTTTATTAGTTTTCTTTCTGCTACTCACAGAAGTAGTGTTTACTAGGGAGGCACATGTACAGAGTTGGTGGCACCAGCATCTCTTACATTTTCAACATAATTTTTCCTTTCAGAAGTCGATGTGATTTAATTTGAAGCAAAACCAAGAAATGAATGTTTCTTCCTCATTCATTCATACTGTTTTTTGATGGCCATGGCATAAGGAACTTTATCCCAGGAATACAGCTTTACTTTAGGTAAGCTATAAAGTTGCCTTTGATACAAATTTTAAAACCATTTACTGTAATTGTTTCTCTTTTCAGCAAAAATAATGATGTAGTTTGTCAAGATTCTTAATGACTTTAGACCAGATGATTCTTCTCTTCTGAAGAGGAGATGTTGCACACTTAAAAGGCCAATCACTGCCATACTTTGCACTGATAGAGCATTTAATTTGGGGGAAATTTTTTTTATTTTAATCGGAGATTATTAGATTTGGTTACACTTCTGTTTGACTCTTCACATGCCTCTTATAAGAAGGGTAACCAGGGACAGTCTTTTAATCTGAACTCTGTTTACTTCTCTTTAAATTGAGTATGATGGTAGAACAGAGGTGTTCAAGACCCAAGTTTATATAGTGTACTTCGTAGATTGTAAAGCATTTGGCTAATGTAAAGAATTTTGGTAGGCATGGGGTGTTGGTATTTTTGTACATTTGTGCCAGACTTTAAATTTACTAAAGCAACATTTACTGTGTTTAAATGTGCTTTCTATAGCAAGCATGCAAATTACCATATGCTCTGATTAAAGAAATCTCGGAAGGGCTTCAAGACAAGTAGCTGGTGGGCCTGGCTTTCCTGTTATATTGCCATATCTGTGCTTTTCAAATGTTTAGTTCTTGTTTAAATGGTGCATAAAACTCAATATACACCTCCTCAGCCGAATAATAAATAGTGACTACTATTAAATTCATAGGAGTTGGAATGGATCTTGAAGGTCTTCTAGTTCAGGGATTCTTCAGTATTATTGCCCTTTATCTTCTGCTTTTAAAAAGCCAGATGGCTATCATGAAGGGTGGAGAGAATGAACTGAGACTAGTATATTTGTTTTAGAAAAACTTGCTGTTGGATTTTTTTTCTTAATTATGTGCAAGATAAAATAAATTGCTAATATCTAATTAAGTCTGAGGCTGGTGAAGTCTCTGGAGTGTATGAATATATTGTTTATAACCTAAATTATAGATTGTTTAGGCTATACATGAAAATGGTATTCACTGTTACCTTCCGTACCATTCCACCTCTCAGACTATACTGGGTCTGAACAAGTACTGTAAATTTACTATATATGTGACTGTGTTAGTCAGCTTTGCATCGCTGTGAATAAAATACCTGACAAGAACAACTTATAAGAATAAAAGTTTATTTTAGGCTCACTCTTTCACTGGCTGACTCCATTGCTCTATGTCTGAGGTGAGGCAGAACATCATGGAAGAAGGGCATGGGGTGGGGGAGCTGCTTAGCTCATAGCAACTAGGACTGGGAAGTGGGGTTCAGGGACAGATACAGTCCAAGGTGGGTCACCAGTGACCTACCTCCTCCAGCCACACCTCACCTGTCTATAGTTACCACCCAGTAATCCATTTATATTATTAATCCATTAAGTGGATTAATTCACTGATAAGGCTATGACTCTTTACCTGCGAACATTCCTGCATTGCCTAACACTTGAGCTTCCTAGGGACATTAAAAATCCAAACCATACAATGACCTTAGGCAAATAAAATGGGCCTCTTGGTCTCTATTGCCTATTCTGTATAATAAATATTAAAAGGACCTAACAAATGGACAAGTGCTTTGCCTAGACATTGTCCTATGGTGTGGGCAAAGCACATTATATACAGTCAGCCTTCTGTATCTGTGAGTTTTACATCCATGGTTTCAATTCACCACAGATTGAAAATATTCAGAAAAAAATTGCAGCCATACTAAACAAGCATAGACTTTTCTTCCTTGTTGTTATTTCCTAAACAATGCAGTTTAAAAACCATTGAGCTAACATTTACATTGTATTCAGTATTATAAATAATCTAAAGATGATCCAAAGTATTCTTGAGGACATGTATAAGTTACATGCAAATATTATGATGCCATTTTATATGAGGAACTGAAGCATCCACAGATTTTGAATTTTGAGGGGGTTCTGGAACAATCCCTTTCAGATAATGGGGGCAACCATTTGTGTGTGTGTGTGTGTGTGTGTGCATATGCACTTTAATTAGGCTCTCCATCAGACTTCTTTTGCTTTAGTCCATCAACTGATTAACCTTCTTGAACCATGTTTTGTAGCATGTCACTCTGAACTTCTCAGTGCTTCCCCCAGGGCCCACATTTAATGCTCAAACTCAGCCTTCAACAAGGTAATCCCATTCATCTTTTCTTCCAACCCCTCACTGCCACTTGTAAAAGAAAGTACAGGTAATGATCTGTTCGTTGCCAGGGTTGGTCTTAACTGGAAGAAAGCCAAGGAGATCTCTTGAAATTGCTTTATTTTTCTTTTTTAATATTTTATAGTTGTCAATGGATCTTTTTATTTATTTATATGTGGTGCTGAGGATCGAACCCAGGGCCTTGCACATGCCCGGCAAGCGCTGTACCACTGAGCCACAACTCCAGGCCTCTTGAAATTACCTTTTAAAAAAAAAAAAAAAATATATATATATATATATATATATATATATGTATATTTTCTTAGTTGTAGTTGGACACAATACCTTTATTTCACTTATTTTTTTATTTTTTTTTTTAATGTGGTGCTAAGGATGGAACCCAGGGTCTTGCACGTGTGAGGCGAGCACTCTACCGCTGAGCCACAACCCCAGCCCCTGAAATTACTTTTGATGGCAATTTTACCATAATATAAGATCTTACACTCCATGTAATGGGACCAGTAACTCAGTTTCTTCAGTTTACCATACTCAGTGCACTATAGCCATGAGGATTAAAGCAAATAAATCAGAATGCCACGTAACTTACCATTTTCTTTTTATGTTAATAAATGGGACCAGCTTGTAGTTTTTTTTAATATTTATTTTTTAGATGTAGATGGGCACAACAAAATGCCTTTATTATTATTATTTTTTTAATGTGGTGCTGAGGATGGAATCTGGGTCCTGCCCGTGCGAGGGGAGCGCTCTACCGCTGAGCCACAATCCCAGCCCTGGCTTGTAGTTTTTTCCTCTGTTGTCTAGTTTTGATACTAGGATTTCATATAACATTTATTAGCAGATTTTCTCCCACCTTTATTTTCTTGCCCCTTTCCTCCCCACTACTTTTAACATTTCTAGTTTTATTACATTGTGTAATCACATGTAATCAAATGTGCCCTGTGTATTTTTGTTTGGGGCAGAAATTTATTGATGTTCTCTGTGACCTGTATAAATTTCTTCTTTATCCTCTTTTTTCATATCATTCCACTATTTTGTTTCATCTTCCTTATACTTCAAAGAGACTGTGTTTTCTTAAAGCTGATGGAAAACATCAATTTAAGAAGTGTTATCTAAAATGTATTTTTGCCTATTCCTTGTCGTTTTCTTTTTTGATATTGTAGAATCTATTTGCAGACCCTTGTTGGTTGTAATATTTTTATTCTTGAGGGAAGCGTTCTGTTCAGGACTGAAATTTTACTCCTCTGTGAATTGTTTTGTGTCCTTCATTGCACACTTAAATGTTGTTAGAACCAACTTTTAATTAGTTCATAAGCTGGATATAGGGCTGAGCCATGTTGACAGCAGGGTTTAGCTTGAGTGGAATAGCTGGGGATGGGGGTTAGGCTTCAGGCACTCTCCAGAGGGCTTGGGTTCTATGCACTTTCTTTTGAGCTGGTGAAATTGTGATACTAGGATAGGAGCCTCTGTTGTCTCTTAGGCCCTGCTGATAAATGATGGATGGTCATTTGAATGACTAAGCCCCAGCCCTCTGATTAAGGTATTTTCTTGCTGAGGCAATGTGCAACCTTTGAGATCCTAATATCACCACTTTTGAATGTTGTCAATCTGTAGCACCTGCCTGTCCCATGGCCCACCCTACCCTGGCTTTTAGCTCTGGGCTCTCCAAATGAAGGGGTGTTCTAATCCTCCCTGAGAATTACTGTTACTATACCAGGATTGCCTGGAGCAGGAAGTGAAGTTGCAATGTCTCCCTTCAATCTGGATCCATATCTACTGTATCTTAAATTTCTTAAAAGATTGTGCCATGTAGATAACACTGTTCCCTAAGTTCTAGAAATCAGTCGAATTTTTCCATATTTCTATAAGGTTGTGGTAGATGAGAAGAATTATATGCCTGTCTTCAAGTTGTCTTTTTACTCTGATGACACCAAAATGTATAATAATGGGACATACAACTCTAGAGTATGCCAGGTACCCTCTGAATTCCTTGTGGATTTGTGATTTTCTTATGGTACTTTCATCAGGCTTTGCCTTGCATAAAATGTTGTATAAATGTGTTTTATCTGCTCTACCAGATTTAAACTCTCCAAGGACAACAGTATTTCCCCATAATTCCTTGTGTGTTTTATGGGGTATTTTTAGTGAGTTAATCTTCTAACCAATTGAAACAGCAACTGTACTCAATATAGTTACAGTTGCTTGTGAGTGTGTAAATATTACTAGACAGCAGGAAAACCTACAAGAGAATTTTAGATTTTTATATGTTACTAATGTCAGAGAATGTGGAGAAATGTTACATTTACCCAAATTTAAGGGCAAAGTTCAGATACTTAGTAAACTTCAAGGATCATTACCACCTTGACACAGTTAAAAAAAAAAAAAATGACAATTTTTTCCAGTTTGTTTTTTTTTTTTCTGTGTGGTAAAATATATATATATAACTTTCAATTTGCTGTTTTAACCTTTTTTTTTTGTTGTTGTTAATGCTATGGATTAAACCCAGGACTTTGTGCATGCTGGGTAAGCACTCTACCACTGAGCTACATCCTCAACCCCATGTTAACCATTTTTTAGTGTACAATTCAGTGGTGCTAATTACAATCAGTGTTGTACAGCCAACACTACTATTTTGAAAATTATTTTATCACCCATTAGAAATAACTCCTCATTTCCTAGTCCCCCTTGTAATCTTATCTTTTTTTTATTTTGAAGTTGTAGATGGACCTTATTTATTTATTTATTTATTTATTTATTTATTTATTTATTAGTTTTAGGTGGACACAGTATCTTTATTTTATTTTTACGTGGTGC